TATACATGAGTTAAAAATAAGATTTTTGAAAAATTGATAAAAAAGAAAATTTCTACAAATTAACTTATATTTAAGCTAATTTTAACTCATGAAAAACTTTTTTTTTTTTTTATATTTTTCTCTCTTAAAAGTATTAAAATAAACTTATTAATGAACTAAAACTAAATTATACATGAGTTAAAAATAAATTTTTTGAAAAACTGATAAAAGAAAATTTCTACAAATTAACTTATATTTAAGCTAATTTTAACTCACGAAGAAACTTATTTATTTATTTATTTATTTATATTTTTCTCTCTTAAAAATATTTCTAGAGAAGTTTATCTAAGTTGACCATTATTGTTTCTTGTTCCTATTGCCAAATTCTTATGACAACAAATTGCTGTGCAGGCATATGTTGATGCAATTAATGGCCACAAGCTTCAAAATGGCCATGCAAATCATGCATGGTTGTGTCTTGACCTTTTAGACGTCCTCTGCCAGCTAGCCGAGAAGGGTCATGGCAATAATGTTCGATCAATCCTTGATTACCCTCTTAAACACTTTCCTGAAGTGTTGCTTCTTGGGATGGCACATATTAATGTACAATCTAATGGATTCATATTTGTTGGTTCTCCACAATTACCTATTCTATGTGTTTTCTTGATTCATGTAGTTTACATTGGTTGTTCTTGCAGACTGCCTATTATCTCTTGCAACGGGAAGTATCTCTGATTGTTTTTCCCAAGATAGTAAAAAGTGCTGTAGGCAGTGGGATGATTCTACACCTTTGGCATGTTAATCCCAATCTGGTCTTGAGAGGGTTTATTGATTCTCAAAACAATGATGCAGGCAGCATTATAAGAATTATGGACATCTGTCGGGAGTTAAAGGTTGTTCTCTTTTTAAGTGTTTTTTTTTTTTACTTTTTTTCATTTCAATCATTTTCCTGATAGACAGATAGATTGCACTTTGTTGTTATGGCTTTCTTGATTTTGTTATATGTGAGGATTACAATTGACTATTGATATGACCAAAATAGAAATAATGCATTAATAAAATATATAAGCAAAAAGTAATTTTCATCTTTTAAACCAGTTTTGTAAGATTAAGTCAAGTTCATAATACAAAAATTGACTTGTAAGATGAGAGTTATTTCTCACTTATATATAAATATATTACTAGTCGACGTGGCCAAAATAGAAATAAGGCATTAGCAAAGTATATTAGGAGATAGCAATCCTTACCTTATATATTGTTTTCGACTCATAATTTGTTTTCTTAATATGTTTTAATAATAAGCAAATCTTACTTTCATTGAGCCCTTAGTCGCAAGAAGCCTTCAAATTTGTCTTCACGATTCACAAATGCCAATCTCTTTTCTTTTTTACAATCTTTTGCCATTTTTAACTCATGCTTTCTTGTTGGTTTTACAGATTCTATCATCCGTGGTGGAAATTATTCCCTCTTATTATAGTATAAGGTTAGCAGCAGTGGCATCAAGAAAAAAATTCATTATAACCTTGAGAGGTGGTTGAATAGAAACTTAACTAGAAGCAAGGACGTCCTTTTTGTGGTAACAATAATACCTTCCCTCGTGCTTTGGGTCCTAATTTTTTTACACACTAACTTCACAGATTTAGAATCTAAATGAATACAAATTAAAAGTGCTTGAGAGTTTTTATATTGAAAATAAAGAACTTTTTTCAATAGAAAACTCTTAAAATATGCTTTTAAGCTTCTACCCAAACAATCTCTTATGCAGTCTTTTGGTTTTGTCACTTGTGCATTCCAACGTGTACTCTTCTGAGTTTATTGTAGCAGAAAAGTGGCTGACATTGTTAGGCTTTGCAGGAGTGCCTCAAGTTCTTAAAGGATGTCCATTTTGGTAGATCACAAAACCTTTCTGGCAAATCTTTTCATCAGCCTGGTGCTGTTCTGAGCCTCTATGCTGAGACGACTTCCACCTCATTAAAAAGGGTCACCCACCATTTATCCACGTACCAAGCCCAATAGTGCTGGACGTCAGGAGGTGTATTGGGAAAAACCCAAGTCCCACATCGACTAGAGATTAGGCAATTAAATAGTATATAAGTGGAAATCACGTCCAGCACTATTGGGCTTGGTACGTGGATAAATGGTGGGTGGCCCTTTTTCAATGATCTAGGATTGCAGGACTTGGGTTTTTCCCAATACACCCCCTCATGCCTATGAGGCATGCATCAATGGTGGGTGGCCCATTTTTAAAGTAGATCTAAATGGCTCTGATACCATCTTAGAATAGTGGATTAAGCCTAACTCAACCCTACAAAATCGGCTCGTAAAGTGAGGGTTGCTTTCCACTTATATACTATTCAATTGCCTAATCCCTAGTCGATGTGGGACTTGAGTTTTTCCCAATACACCCCCTCACGTCCAGCACTATTGGGCTTGGTACATGGATAAATGGTGGGTGGCCCTTTTTAATGATCTAGGATTGGCGGGACTTGGGTTTTTCCCAATACACCCCCTCATGCCTATGAGGCATGCATCAATGGTGGGTGGCCCATTTTTAAAGTGGATCTAAATGGCTCTGATACCATGTTAGGATAGTGGATTAAGCCTAACTCAACCCTACAAAACCGGCTTGTAAGGTGAGGGTTGCTTTCCACTTATATACTATTCAATTGCCTAATCTCTAGTCGATGTGGGA